TTATTGGGAAAGACTCATCTGTACTGTCTTCAGCTTGAGGCAGAGGCATGCTGGAGATTAATCATCTGATCAGCCTAGACTCAGTCCAGACTGGGAAACAGAGGTGCGCCCAGTGGTGAGCAATGTTTGGCCAAGACAAGCTTTTGCACCAGGCTATAGTTGACCAATCCTTCAGGCAATGGGAAGGTTGCCATGCTTCAGCACCTGTAGCTCTTGTGCTCACCCAGGATACACACTCTTCCTTGCCATCTCACCTGGCACAAGCAGCGAGCCCATGTCCCATGCCCTCCCGACCTTCCTCTCACCATCCTGGGGCAATCTGTCCCCTTGGCCACATGAGAAGGGCTAGAGGTTCATCACAGATCTGTCTGACAAATGAGCCTTTCCAATCCATGGCTCTGTCCCACACTTGGCTTCACCCCTCTCTCCCCCCGTTGGTACCACCAATACAGACAACTTGGAAACCACAGGATGAGAGCCAGCCTCGTTGCCACTACACATAGACACTGTCCACCCCGGCATGCTGACAGCACACTGCTGCAGCAGTGTCCCAAGCCCCACCCCTGCCATCCATCAGCTGACGACTCCACATAGAGTTTGTGTGAACTCTCATCCAGGACAGCACAAACACTGGCAGTTAAGGACAAGTCTGTGAACTGCTGCTTACAGGAGAGGCCTCAGGTTCTGACTGCTAGGGACAAGCCTTCTCTCTAATCTCACAAAAAGCTCCAATCAGAGGGCAAAGCAATGCTAAGGCAGGACATGGGCTGCGCCAAATGATAGGCAGACTGTTCCACACAACCTTGGCATGCTCTAGCACCTAAAGCAAGTAGCTTGGCTCTCATCCTCCAGCAGCCCACTCCCCTTCATCTCTCTCGCCAGTGTCCAGTAGCTGTCATGAAGTGTCACCAAGTCACTGACATGCACCAGGGCCCAGACAGCACACAGCTTCACGCCAGAGCCCAGTGAACACTGGTGGAGGGTGTGGCTGCACTGCAGGCTCTCTCCAGCAGCAGAGCTGGTTGAGGAGGTTCCTACCCCACCCAGTCTCCCCGCTGTGGGCTGCTACTTCTCCAGTCTCACCGGGTTTGCTGGAGGTGGGGGCAAACCAGCCATTTGGATGAGATGTCCTCCTGATGACTTTTATCTAGGGTGCGATCCTGCATCCCCTGAAGCAGCATTCAGCTCCGGGACATCCAGCCTCTGAGGCAAATACAGATGGAGGCTTTGCCAGGCCACTGTCCTACCTGGAACCATGCCTGAGATAACAACTGCTGACCTGGCAGCGTTACAGACCCCAGCAGGCAGGACTGGTCCTTGGGGTGGTGACCATCTCCCACTCCTGCCTCCAACAAGCTCTGGCTCCAGCATGTGCCCAACTTTGCCATGCACAGGCTGCACTCTCAGGTCTCACAGAGGGACTGTGGCATTATCAGTGCCAAGGCTGTACAATCATCTCTGCCACAAGACACAACATGGTGTTTCAGCCTCTTCATGAAGCATTATAAGCTTCCATCTCCAGCTTACAGAGCCATCACCTCAAGCCTGTCCCGCCATTCTGCCTCATTACAGCACTGTGGAGTAGCAACAAATTTCATGTCTTCCACCAACAAATCTGTTCAAAAAGAATCAAGATACATCAGACTTCGGTTGAACAAGAGTACAGTAACTAAAAACAAAGAGCATGGTTCACTAAAAACAAAATGCTTGAAACTTTCTCTCTAAATCCCAAAGGAAACCAGTTAAGTTTTAAGACTGGGGTGATGCACTGAGAGGTGCAGTCGGTGCAGCTCATGGCACACTGGGCAGCAACCTCCTGTTGACAGACCACGTGCAGCACTGTGCCAATGCAATTCACCCAGCCTGTTCACCATTATAAACTATTCTGATCCAGGACGCTTGCCTGGCAGGACTGCTATCGCACTTGGATGTAGTTTTAAAAGTATACTTATTCCTCTGTTGCTGCCAGCCACACACAAGACAAACACCATTCACAGCAGCACAGATGTGTACTGTACTACCAACTACCTGTTTCCCCATCTAAGAGTTTTAACGCAGATATATGGAAACCAACTCCCAAGATCAATGCATATGTTAAGAATACGATATTCAAATAAACCATAACCAGAGTTGGATAAAGAGCTGAGAGAATGCATCTAGGAAAAGAAAACCAAGGACATCAGCAAAGTCCTCCAACACGGAAGCTTCACTGAAGCACAGCAAGCAGGAGACTTCCACAAAGAGCAAAGCACAAACTAAACCTCACTGGGGCCATGCCTCCTCTGGGCTGCAGGCCAGCAGGGACAGCACGAGGCCACAGAAGCTGAGGTGACCCTCATCCTCTGCTTGCTGCCCATGTGCTTTCCCAAGCCCCTTAAACACGCAGCTCATCAGCGTGCAGCCACTGATCCAGCTTAGTGTGTTCTGCTAGAGTGTGTTTGAGTGTACCTAGCCCAGCAACTCTTCCTGCAGTTTTTATTTGTGAGTTCACGAGCATTTTTTTTTTCTGAAGCAGTACTCCTGGCTGCTAGTACCATTCAACAGCCTTGTTTTTGTCCTGCTGTTTTGAGTTACTTCAGCAGGGCCAGTGCACAGCTACGATCATAGTTTAACCAGAACCTAAAACCCTTCCCCAAAGGAAGCTATGATGCTGGCTACAAGTGGTTGCCTTCAGCACCTTGAGCTGCCTGCAACAGTCATGGAAAGAAACAAGTGCATCAGGATAAAGTAGGACCACAGCTTTTGGCAGCATTACCAAATTAAAGCCACCCAAGAGACTGGAAAGAACCAACACCAAAAGGAGCAAACCTCAAGCAAAGCAGGGCTGCAGACAAGCCACAGGTGCCCATGCACCATGCTCCCCCCACACGGACTGAAACAATTGCTTCTGTCCTCTAAGGACTTGCATCTCAGCACCTGTGGTCAGGCACACAGCAGCAGAGGAGCGACAATGACTCGTGTCTGAGGGCAGAGCTTAATGCAAAGTGCTGCACTGCCTCATACTGAGTAGTGTCAGAGCATTAAAGGATAAGGATTTAACTTCACAGACAGCACCTTGAAGGAGAGGATGCATGTGCTGTGGTGACTCACAGACAAACCCTATCACAGTCTAAACTATCACAGAGAGCTGGTGCTTGCGCTTCCCATAGGGCTTAAAACTGCCTCAAAACAACAGGAGATTCACTTGCTGGTGATGGAGCAACAGCCTCTTGCACTGCAACCACAACCTAAGTCTTAGAACAACTTTGTATGAATGCAAGCACCACAAGATGCATGCATGAGCACAAGCAAATCAGAACTTGAAGCCAAAGCTGGTTTTCTCCAGTTCTGCAGAACACTCAAATCAAGTCCAGGCCGACATATACATCACTGCAGATTCCCTGGTTGTTATGAACACATGGAAGAAACCTGCTGTGCCAGAAGCTACACAGACACTCATGCTGAATCTTCTTCTAGCCCCTTCCAGGAGCATCGTGCCCCAGTGCCATCCCCCAGCTGCCCTTTCCCAGAGCTCAGCAGAGAAGTGCCTTCCACCAGTGCAAAACCCACAAAGCGGGCCTCCAGTACCCGGAGCCATCCATTGCAACGCTTGTTTGGTTGTTTAAATATATTGCCAGTAAGAGCCGTTTCATCCTTCAGCTGAGTAGAACCAAGAATTTGATTGGTAAGGGCCAATACTGACTAATCTTTGGCTGTAACGGATCCTTTCTTCCTCGGGCTCCATCTCTGACTCTTCCGAAGAAAGTGAGAAGGACACTCCAGGGCTGCTGTCGTCGTCCTCTTCCTCCTTGGAAATCAGAGGGAAGCAGTGAGGCAGGGCACGGGGCCACGCAGCACCCACCTCTCTCCTTCCTAAACGCGAGCACAGCGACGAGCCCACCCCAACCCAACCGCTCTAACTTTACGTATGACTTCGCAGGCTGCTCTGTAAGGCAGCAGATGCGTAACACAGCGGGTCCCTCCTGGCACCGTCCTGTCACCACGGACCAGAGCGGGTGCCTGCTGCTAACCACCGAGGGAGCAGCCGGGCGCCCCCAGAACGGGGCCGTGCGCCCCCAGAACGGGGCCGCGCGTTACAGAAGCGGCTCCTCCCCAGGACGCGGCCACCGTCCCAGGAGGCATCCCAGCCCAGCGGCAGAGCACCGAGCCCCCCGCGCAGCCCCTACAGCGCGGCTCCCGCCCGGAGGAGTCCCACGCTCAGCCCCCGACCCGTGTGACGCAGCGGTGTCAGGCAGCGCCTCCACCTCCGCTTCTAAAGCGGCAGAAAGCCCACAGCCCCCTGCAGCTCCCCGGGAAGCGACGAGCGGACCGCCGAGCCGCCCTCGCTCCTCGCTCCGTCCCCGCCGCCCGCAGCCCGCGGCTGTCACCCCCCGGAGCTGTCACCGCCGCCCGCCGCCCCCCGAACTTTCGGCCCCCGGACCCCCCCGCCCCGCCGCCGGTGGCTCACCAGGTCCCTCCTGCGCCTTTGTCCTCTCCTGCCGCCGGCACAGCACGAACACAGCAGACGGAGGAGAAGCCCCGGGTCAGGCTCCGAGCGCCGCGGGCCCCCCGCCGCCGCCGCCGCCGCCGCCCCCCGGCCC